TCAGCAGGAGCTCTCAATAAACAAGTATTCCCGCTTCAGGTTTTCACTGTGAGGGCCAAGAGTCTCTCCCTCCTCACCTGTTACTGATACTGATGCCCTTCTCTCTCATGGCATTCAGCAGCATGGCCATGCAGTACAAGGTCTCAGTGACGTCCAGGAATGAAAGGGTAGAGGTTGGTCTCCTAAGACAAGCCATCAGCTTCTGGATGTCACGCACGCCGTCGGAGAACAGCACGATCGCTGCCATCACGGCCCACGCGTTCACAGCCTGGACAGAGCGATGGCACAAAGATGAATGGAGAGAACTGAGAGGACGACACGGTTTGTCTGTTTAAAGTATTGTGGGGGAAGTGGGGTGGGAGAGAGGTAGGCCTTGTTGAAAGATCTCTGTGATCATTAACAGCCTCATTAACAAATTTCAGCCAATTCCCTCTCTTATTTCCCATTTCCACTAACAAATGCTTTTCCTCAGGAAAACCCTTTATGCCCACTACTCCAGACGCGGCCCACAAAGTAAACTGTCAGAGAACCCCTAGCCCAAGAAACGTTTCACCTACCCCCACGGTACCCTCCAAATCAGGCAGTCTCTTGATGATGCATATTTCTGCCTTGGGAAACAGAGGGTGTGATTTCAAGCACCTCAGAACCGCCGCAGGATCCGTTCTCCGGTCAGCGTTGGAGGCAGCTATATATCTGTGCAGAAAGTGCCCAAGAGACAAGAATTGAAAGTGAGGTCATTTGCCACTCCATTATGCTTGCCCTGTTGTCTACCCCAGTGCTTCTTAACCTTTTTTTATATTAAGTACCTCTTTTAAAAAAAATTGTAAGTACCCCCAACACCTACAATTTTCACACACACATTTTTTCTACAACTGCAACACATGTGTTTAAATGACTTAATCGTAGCCAGGCAGGCAATGACATTTGTGGGTGTAAAAAGTGCAAAAATAATAAAGCGCTGCAAAACTTAAAACAAAAATTCAGTTTTCTCCAAGTTTCAGTTGTGTTGACGTGCCCCCCCAGACTTCTCTCAAGTACGCCTAAGGGTACTTGTACCACTGGTTGAGAAACACTGGTCTACTCCACGTATCCTACGGTGTGCAATCCTGCTAGGGACTAAGTGCTCTGGCTCTGAGCTAGCAAAGCACCTAACCCTCTTCCTAGTCTCACAGACTCAAAGTTAAGTGAAGTACGGGCTTAAGAACTTTGCTGGATTGGGGCCCTGAATTGTAAACTCTCCAAAGCAGGGACTGGCTCTTTCTCCAAGTTGCACACTTCGGACACTACAGGAGTACAAACAACAGCTTAAGTAACATCAGTGTTCTGGAAGAGGTAAAGACCCCCAGTATCAAGGCAATGATCATCCCTCAGCAACTTCGCTGGACTGGCCCTGTTGTTCGGATGCCAGACCATCACCTCCCGGATCAGGTCCTGTTGTCTCAGCTGAAAGGAGGATACCGTCACGTGGGACGACAATGGAAGCGTTATAAGGACTTGCTAAAGAAGAATTTCAAGAAGTGCCACGTTGACAGGTGGGAGATACTCGCCCAGCATCGCTCAAACTGGAGAGAAGTCCTACGCAATGGCACTCTGCATTTTGAATTTGCCCACCGACATTCTGAGGAGAAGAGGTGCAGAAGGGGAGCCAGGCTACTAGTCATGGTCAGCAGCCTCCTGCTGTACCTGGAAACCTCCATCCCCACTGTAACCGAACTCACGGTTCAAGGATTGGCCTTATCAGCCACCTGAGGGTCCACAACTCCCATGGAAAAGGATTATCCTCGGCAACGAGCGATCGCCGATCATCACTGCAAATAATAACGTGCAAGGAACGGAGATGATGAGAGGGAGCGGTGAACCTCAGAGCTATCACTGTTCGTATCGAGGGGGATCAGCTCTTTTTCACACTAGGTTTTTCACCTCTTAAAAAAACCTAACAACAGAACTTCTGACCCCCTTTGCCTCTCCCACGTCCTTCTCCCTTTCATCGCTATCCTGACTGAATGCACAGTTTACAATCACAGTCCAGAGCTCTTCTCCTTCACCCTCTACAATCTGGCTTCAGGTCCAGACACTCCGCTGAAACCACTCTCGCCAAAGTCTTTAAAGACCGAGACAAAGCTCAGATCTGGTACTGCATTCTCACTCTCTTTGCCTGTCAGCTGCCTTGGACACCACTGACCACGGTCTTCATCTTGCAATCATGACTTCTGTGTCTGTCCTCGCCCGGTTCCCCTCCTCCTCCAATCGTTCCTTCAGTGTAGCCTTCGAAGGAGTCTCCTCAGCCCACCTCCAACTTCTTGGGTGGTGGGGGTGTTCCACAGCGGTCTGTCTGCCCCTCGACTTTATCTCTGGATAATCTCATGCACAACAGCAAGTTGAGACACCATCTCTATGCTGATGACTCTGCAATCTACCTCTCCGCTGCAGACCTGCCTCTTTTTGTCCCATCATGGCCTATCTCTGACGTCTCCCTGTGGATGTCCAGCCATCAGCTAAAACTCAGCATCGCTAAAACAGAGCTCTTTCTCTTCCCATCACACCCTCCCTGATGCCCCCAGTGATTGAGAAAAAGAGGTAACTCAAGGTGGATAAAAACTGATGATTAAAAAAAACCAATAAAACTAATTTGTTTATTTAAATTAAATGCAAGCTTTTAAAAAGTAGTTATGTTTAAATTTGAAATTGACAAACTATGTTAAGACCTACATTTATTATAACCTATTAAAATCACTTACATTAAATACAAAATATAATATTAAGCAGAAAACTTTGCTGCCAAGTGTCAAAGTCAAACCACTGAACTGATCACACAGTCACTGGCTAAGCACCTGGAATCCGAGCTTGTTGAAGTGCTAACTCAGCTTTTGACAGCAGTAACGTCTTTTACAGGTGCAGAGAAAATATTTTCTTCATATCGGTTATTAAACTAGTTCAATTCACTGATTCAAAGGTAGTTGATTCAAAGCTAAGAAACCAATGGGAGTTGAAAAAGTAGGAGAGCTTGTTTTCCTCTTCCACTCTACTAACAAGAACTGTGTGTTAGAGGATGAGATCTACTAGTTTCAAAATACTGAAGGATGTGACCAGAAACAATCAATTCAATCTGGTCATGACAGTTCATACTTCCTTTGTTTAATAAATCGTTAATTTTTTAAATGCAAAATATGTTTTGATAAACATTCTTATTATGTATCCAGAACATTTAAAATACAAAAAATGAAATGCTGTTTGTGCTGTTTTAATTGAATTTGAGTTTCCATCCATGAGTTTGACAAACATTCCAAGTAAAATATTAATAATCGAATAGGAAATGCATCTTTCACCCTTTATTAATATGATAATATAAAAGTTAAGAATGAATAAATGTTAAGATAAGCTACATAATTGCTTAAATAAATGTGTATAGATACAGTATATCAAGACTAGCAAAAAGCAGCACCAAGTTTAGTGTGAAGATTATATTTAGTTGCCAATCAACCTGTTTTAATGGCTAGTGTTAGTTAAAATTATTAAGTGTCTAGTACATAATTAACACTTAGGATTCTGGACCAGCCCTAAACAGTAATGCCCAATTGGTTGGTGTATCTGTCTAGTTTGTTGTTCAGTAGTTTACAGATTATCAGCGTAGGAGCATCCACTTTTGCTCAAGAAAATGCAAATGCAAAACATGATTGAAACGGATTATTTAAATTAAGGCTTGCTCCTTGCTGGTTTAAATCATTATTAAAATTGGAGACAAATTGCTTTAATTTAAAATCAGTGCTTCCTGTTGTACCACCACCACTGTGCCTGTGCCTCAGACCTCTCTCTAGGTCCTCAGATCCAGGCTGTATTTAAATCTTGCAGACTCTTTAGGCATAACATCCTTAACATACGGTCTTATCCATCCACACAGCTCATACTCTCCTCATCTCAGGTCTCAGTTTCTGCAACATCCTTCCCTCTGGCCTAGACAAATGCACTCTTGCCCTGCTGACACCCATTCAGAACGGTTCCGCGAAGATAATTTTCCTAGTCAATTGCTTGAATCATGTCAATCCTCTCTTTGCAGCACTTCACGGGCTCCCCCTTCTCTACTGCATCAAACATTAGCTATCAGTTTTGCTCTCAAGGATGCTCCCCCCCACGCCGACCTATTTCTCCGCCCTGCGTATCAACTCTCATTTGCTATCCAGATGTCAGCCTTCACCTTTGATTGGCCCTTGATGCCAACCTCTCTTGCCCACTTGTTAAAATTTCCCCATGCTGCTCCTCACACTTGGGAGGAGCTCCCAGCAAACACGTGCAAAGCTAACTGATTATCTTCTGTGTGAATCCCGGGGCCAGCAAGAAGACCCACCGGCTCTGGGCTGCACATGAGACCCAGCTTTGAAATGAACAAGAGTCCCCAGTGGGGGCTCTTGTGCATTTCAAAGCGGCAGCGCAGCATGGAGCCCAGGGTCAATAGAGGTCAGAGTCGCCCGCTGACCCCAGGCTCCATGCTGCACTGCCGCTTTGAAGTGCCATGCGCAGCCGGGATCAGCTGGGGACTCCCCCACCTGATTCTGGGTTCCACCGAAATGCTGCGCTGGAGCCCAGGATCAGCTAGGGAGTCCCCAGCTGACCCTGGGCTCCACGCATCCAGCGCTGCACAGCTGATCCCGGGTTCTGGGGAAATGCTGCGCAGAAACCGTGGTCATTTGGGGAGTCCCCAGCTGATCCCAGGCTCCGTGAAACATTTCAGCAAAACCTGGCATCAGCTGGGGACTCCCCAGGTGACCGCAAGTTCTATGTGGCATTTCCCCAGAACCGGGAGTCAGCTGGGAACTCTCCAGATGATCACAGTTTCTGTGGAAATGCCGCGCTGGAGCCCGGGATCAGCTGGGGAGTCCCCAGCGGACCCTGGGCTCTACGTGCACCGTGCCACTTTGAAACACCAAGGAGGCGTTTCAAAGGGGCAGTGTCGTACAGCTAAGCTGGGACTTTGAATGCTGCCTCAGTGCCCCTTTGAATGCTGCCTCGGTGTTTCAAAGCAGCAGCGCCACACAGCTTTCAAGTACCCCTTCTTCCCCCCCGCTGCTTTGCTGCCTCTATCTGATAGAGGCTGCAAGTGGGGGGGGAGGAGGGAAAATCGACTAGTCAACTGACTATCTGATAAGCATTTGTTTATCGCATTTTTGCCTAGTCTTTAACATCCCTAGTTTGGGGCAGGAACTGTGCTTTTATTCTGGGTTTGTATAGCACCCAGCACAATGGGGTCTTGTACCACAACTGGGGTTCCCATGCCCCGCTGAAATAAATAACAGTATCCAGAAAACTGAATGATTTGGGAATTTAGAGCATTTTATGGCATAAAATCTTTAGCTGTTAAGGCGTCAGAGTAAAGGGAAATGGGAACAGATTTTGGGATGGGGGGAGGAAAAATCATATAATCATCATATAATCAGGACTTGTGTGGAGAAAGTGAATAAGGAAAAATTATTTACTTGCTCCCATAACACAGGAACTAGAGGGTCACCAAATGAAATCAATAGGTAGCAAGTTTAAAACAAAGAAAAGGAAGTATGTACCTGTCTTCCGACAGTGGCCAATGCTAGGTCTCCCCAGAGGGAATGAACGGAACAGGGAATCATCCAGCAATCCCACCTTTGTCACCCATTCCCAGACTGACAAACAGAGGCCAGGGACCCCATTCCTACCCATCCTGGCTAATAACCAGGGCTCGACAAATAATACAATCTACTCGCCTGAGTAGATTGTAACCCGGAAGAGCCGGGTTCGGGCGATCTGCGCATGCGCAGATCGCCCGAACCCGGCTCTTCCGGGTTACAATCTACTCAGGCGAGTAGATTGTATTATTTGTCGAGCCCTGGTTATTAGCCAGGATGGGTAGGAATGGGGTCCCTGGCCTCTGTTTGTCAGTCTGGGAATGGGTGACAAAGGTGGGATTGCTGGATGATTCCCTGTTCCGTTCATTCCCTCTGGGGAGACCTAGCATTGGCCACTGTCGGAAGACAGGATATTGGGTTAATTGGACCTTTGGTCTGACCCAGTCTGGCAGTTCTTATGTTCTTAAGGAAGAAGGCATTTTTTTGCCTAACCCAAAAGGCCCACGGATCATTTTTAATTCTGATAACTAATTAAGATTGTCAACGATCCTGGAGACTCCCGGAATTGGCATCAATCTCCCAGTGACTACAGAAATTAATCCTGGAGATTTTAATGGGATATTTTAAGAAAAAGACATTACCTCATGTTGGGGGCAAAAAAAAAAAATACAACTATAGTCAGAGTTGGCAATCCTATAAGTAAGTCCTCTTCTCACCACCCCACTCATGCAGGGGGAAGATGCGTGACAGGAAATTAATCATTTCTTTCTTGGCAAAGCACAGCACAAAATGGAGACAAACCTACAGAGCCCGCCAACAGGGCAAAGCACTGGACTGTTCCTCCGATCCATTGACGTACAACTGTAAAGTCACACAAAGAAACAGACTCACCTTATAAACCCCAGCAGGCACTGATCCTGCTCTTGGGTTATTCCATAACGATCCAGAATCCATTCTACTGTGAGCAGAGCGTGGGCCTCCTTCCTGAGGTACTGATGGTACAGCTTTTTCCATGGGATAAACTAAAATGCAAATCAATGCCTCCATCTGAACAACTCCTTTCAACCGCAAACATTGTATAAATAAGCAGCAGCATCGCTCCTGGGGGAGTTATGTAATCTCACTTTGGCAAGACCCAGCAGGTCGATAAAAAGCAGCAGCTAGCTCAGGATGCGAAAAGAAGATGAAGAAAAAGGAGAGGTGGAAGAGAAAAGAGTGAAAATTCCTGCTCCATACAGTCTGAGGACTTGTCAATGGAAGGCTTTTCTCTATTTCTCACTATCCCTATCTTAACCACACAGGTGAAACACCAGCGCTGCCAAGAAGCGATCGGCCACCAGCATTTTTAACAGTGTCACTCAGACCTACTTTGACTAGGGTTGCCAGGTCTCTGGTGTTCACCCGGCCAGTCCAGTATTTTCGGCTCCTGTCCGGTAAAAAATTCAGAGAATACCGGACACCTGAGATGTCTGGTATTTTCTGAATTTTTCCCCGGCCAGGAGGCAAAAATGCCGGGCACCTGGCAACCCTACACACACTCGGCACCCCCCCTCCCATTCCCCCCAGCCCCCAACACTCCCAGTCACCATGCCTACTCGGTTCCCCAAGGCTGCCGGCACAAAATGGCTGCAGGCCAAAACACCTAGGGGAATGCTTTCCCCTGGGCCTTAGGGCTCAACCTCTCCCCGTTGCTATCCCCTTTTTTGGCATAATAAGTCCTTGGA